AGCTATGCAAATAAAGCACATGACCAGCGTTTCTGCATATGTCTGAAGGTCACCGAGTTTGTTCAGAATGGCCGCTCTAGGAGTAGTAAAGAAGTTTCAGCCATTTTTCAACTACCACACTCTGTAATGTCAACAATGAAGACTTTAAAAACAAGAAATCTAACCTGACCAGTGGTTTATAATATTCTACATTGAAACAGCATATGGCCGCTTTCATTTCTCTCACCAGTCATCCAAAATGTAATATCTGTCTGGAAATCTTCTATCAAGGCTATTGCTTCCAATTTTCTTTTTGTTTTTATTTTTAAGAATTATTTCTTTATTTACTTAATTAATTTGTTTTAATTTGACCAGAGAGAGAGAAAGTATAAAAGCAAGCTACCAGGTCCAGGACTTGAACCACAGCTGGCCATGTGGGCGTTCAGTGCCTTAACCACCATGCCCCATACTAGTCCTGCTTCCAAGTTTCTTATGCCTTTCCACAAATCAATCATATAAATCACTGATATCACCTGAGGAGCCTTAAAAAAATGCTGATGCTCACAACAAATGGGTTAGCCTCCAGCGGGTGGTACCCAGTCACCAACATTTTTAAAAGCTTCCCAGGTAATTCTGATGTGTCAAGAGGGAGAAGCACTAGTGTAGACTGAGTAACTTTCAGTACCAGCAGCTGCCAGAGGCAGCTCCTTAATTGTTGACAAGGCGATTGGTTGCCTGTATGAACCTGGTCATGGAATTGCAGGAAGCCTTAACGGATGGTGAAAGATTGCAATCTTCCTTTTCAGGGCAGACTTCTATTCCCCAGGGAGACCTCCTCTGTTGCGGGAGTCAGAAGATGCTCTGACAATCAGGAGTTAGCATCTTTCACCCCTTTGCTACAGCCAGCTTCCAGAAGATTTATCTTTGTGGGCAGCCTTGGCCTATGCTAAGTAGGACTCTGCCTTGCGAGTCTTTTGCTCAAAGATGTCATTGAGTAAAATGGTTCTGAGACCTGCAGATGGCATAATGGTTATGTTGCTGGATTCCCATGTAGTCAACTGCAGTTCAAGTCCCAGACCTGGTGGCTTAAAACTCACATCAGGTGCATGTGCGTGCATGGGCGCGCATGCCCAAGATCCTGGGAGGAGAATGGAGAAAAGATGTGGCATATTCATCCCTGCCTGGGGATGGGGGCGGAGCAGGGGCGGTGATTTCTCACTTTCTGTCTCTCTTTCTCTCTGGCAAGCGCATGTATCCTATAACAAAAATCTCTTTCTGAAAAAAAAAAAAAAAGAAGGAAAAAGAGGGACCAGCAGTTCGAGTCCTGAACCCGGAGGCTTAAACTCACACTGGGTGCATTTGTATGCATTCCAACAACTCACAAGTGGAGAATGGAGGAGAAGGGATTGCGGTGTGGCCATACCCCCTGGAAGGTGATTTCTCACTTTCTGTCTCTCTGTCTTTCTCTGCCTTTCTGGCAAGCGCACATGCCCTATAGCAAAAATCTCTACCTTAAAAAAAGAATAATGTGGTATAGGTAAAACAAAATCCGAAGTCGTAGTTCAGAGGACAGTAGTTAAGTGGGAAGAAACCAAAATTGGGGACTGTGACTAGTAGCAAAGGCTAAGAATGGCAGAAGCCCAGAAGCCCAGGGTACCCTAAGATGAGAGGCAGGAGAATCTGTGTTACAGAATGTTGGGATCAGCACGCATGCCTCTTTCCACACATAGGCTGGATCTGAAAGTATGAACACCGCGAATTTCATCAAATACTACTCTGAAAACCAGGCACAGTGCTGGCCCGCTAGTACATTTACACACTGTGTAGGGAGCTGGATCCCACATGGTCAACTACAGTTTAAATCCCAGCCCTGGCAGTTTGGAAAACACACTGAGTATGTGTGCCCACATACCCCAAATCCTAATAGGATGGAGGAGTGAAGGAAAAAAAGACTGGCAGATCACATCCCTTTCAAGGGGTTCTCTTCCTCATACTCTCTTTCTGGTAAATGCATACTTTGGTAATTAAAAAAAAATATGACCAGTGGATGACATAATGGTTATGTCGCTGGACTCCCACATAGTCGACTGCTGTTTAAGTCCTGAACCCAGTAGCTTAAAACTCACACTGGGCATATGTGTGCATACCCAAAATCCTAAGAGGAGAATGGAGGAGAAGGGATTGTGGCATGGCCATCTCTGCTAGGGGGTGATTTCTCATCTTCTGTCTCTGTCTCTCTGGCAAGTGTACTCACCCTATAACAAAAACTTCTCTCTCTAAAAAAAACAAAAAAGCTTTAGGGGCCAGCAGATGGTGTAGCAGTTACATCGCTGGACTCCCACATGGTCAACTGTAGCTAGTCCTGGGCACAGGTGGCTTGAAAATCGCGCTGGGCATGTGTGTATGTGCCCAAGATCCCAGGAGGAGAATGGAGAAGGGACTGGCCTGGTTAACTCCCCTGGGTGGTGATTTCTTACTTTCCTTCTCATTGCCTGTCTCTCCCCTCAGCAAGCGCACATACCCTATAGCAAAAATCTCTCTTAAAAAAAAAAAAAAAAGATCCACTTTTTTTTTTTTCTTTGAGTGATTTTTTGATATAGGCCATGTGCATTCCCTCCTCCTCCATTCTCCTCTCAGGACCTTGCCCGGCATGAGTTTTAAGCACTGACTCTGAACTTGACCACAGTTGACTGCGTGGGAGTCCAGCAACGTAACCATTATGCTGTCTGCTGGTTCTGGACCCACTTTTTTTTTTTTTGAGAGGTTTTTTGCTATAGGGCGCATGCACTCACCAGAAAGAGAGAGAGAGACAGAGAGCTAGAAAATGAGAAATCACCCCCCAGGGAGGATGAGCATGCCACAATTCCTTCTCCATTCTCCTCTTGGGATCTTGGGCACACATGCACAGCACACGTGCCTCGCGGGAGTTTAACCCACCAGGTCCACCAACCAGCCTCGCGGTTGATTATATGGGAGTCCAGGGACATAGCCATCATGCTTACTGCTGCACCATGGACCCACTTCTTAGAAAATACACTTCTTAGAAAATATATAGAGACCAGTAGATGGCGTAATGGTTACGTCACTGGACTCACACGTAGTGGGCTGCAGTTTGAGTCTGGACCCAGAGGCCTAAAACACAATGGGCACGTGTACATGCCTGCCCAAGATCCTGAAAGGAGAATGGAGAAGGGACTGAGGCATGGCCATCCCCCCTGCGGATGACTTCTTTCTGTCTTTTTCTGTCTCTCCAGCAAGAGCATGTGCCTTCTAGCAAAAAACCTATCTCTAAAAAAAAAAGAAAAAAGAAAATACACACATATGATTTGGCACACAATTATCAGAAAGTTAACAAAATCTCCAAACCCAGCCATGGGCCCTCTAGAATGGCACTGGTCAACATGGTAGGCACTTTATGGGCCAACAGGTGGCTTTATGGTTGAGGTGCTAGATTCCCACATGGTCAGCTGCAATTTGAGTGCAGGCCCTGCAGCTGGCTGAATAAGTGTGTGTGACCAATATCCCAAAAGAAGAATGTCAAGAAGGGATTGTGGCATGACCACCTCCCCTGGAGGTGATTTCTCTTTCCCCTCTCAGTGTCTCTCTTTTTCTGCTGAGAGCGCATGCACCCTGTGGCAAAAACCTTAAAAACAAAACCACAGTAGCTACTTGGTAATACATGGCAACATTAGCTCCATTTTCAGAGCTCAACAGCCACCACTGCAGAAAGTTCTATTGGAAAATGCTGCTCTAGAATTTCATGGAGCCTAGGTTAAGAATTCAGCCCAAATAAACCCCTGTAGATCTGCTGGCCTATAACCCCACTCAAATAAAATCAAATGTCAGCTAGTCTGTCTTCTGCACATAGGTAGGCCACAAAGACATGGAGGAGGAATGCTAGTAGTAGTTATAAGCATCCCAAAACATTCACTTCCTTTAAGGGCCTATTAATAGCCTACATACAAAGGGACCTTAATAAAAGATTCATCTGAGCATCCCAAAACATTCACTTCCTTTAAGGACCTATTAATAGCCTACATACAAAGGGACCTTAATAAAAGATTCATCTCTGCTGCAATTGTTTCTGTGTTATGAGGCCCGACTGCATGTAAGAAAGAGCTCAAAGATGAGTAACTGGTTGTCACGATTCACTCCCACGACGCTTGTATCTGCCCGACCCATGGCCTAAGCATTGCTGGAGGAAATAGAGGGCCAGGTAGCCCCGCCACTGGGCGGCCAGGCCTCACGACGAAAGCTCACGATGGGGAAGAAGGGAGATGAACGCCTGTACTCGACGAAAGCTCACGATGGGGCCAGAAGGGAGATGAACGCCTGTACTCGCAAAACTGAGCAATACTCGGCAGGCACCTCCAGGCAATTTTTAATTGTTATTATAATTATTTATTTTATTTATTTATTCATTTATTTCTTAATTTGACCAGAGAGAGACACAGAGTGTGAGAGTGAGAGAGAGAGGAAGTGAGGAAGCAAGCCCTTCGGGCAATTTTTAAATCGGCCTACTGTAGAGGCAGACGGCACCGCCAAGCGGGGACCTCACTGTCGCGGGCGCGGGCGGGCGGCCCGGACTGCATCTCCCCGGGCGGGCGGGACCACCTTGGGAAAGGATTTCTCGGTGGAGCTTTTTAACAATCTAGATTTCCGGGCCCACTGCGACACTGCTTCACTGGATCTCGCGTCGCTCCGGGACTTGCTTTGTTAATGAGCTTTCCTGGGAATTCTGACCCAGGTGGTTCTCTGGTCACATCTACCTCGGCCTACTTTCCTCTCGGGGACCTAACGGGCCTGTCCCCTCCCCTGTCTCGCCCCCACG